TGTGTGTGTGTGTGTGTGTGTGTGTGTAGGTGTGTGCACGTGTGTGTGTGTGTGTGTTGGGGTTCTTAGAGATTCTTAGAGATCTCCCTGTCTCTAACTTTTTGGAGGGGCAAAATGAATGTACGTAGCTGAATACAGACAACAACATCGGTAGCCTACAGGTTACTTGTTAAACTTAAGGTGATGTATTATTAACTAGTCATCTTTTAGCTAACTTTACCTGCATCCAACAGCTTTACTCAACAGTCGATTAGTTTGGGGGGAAAACTGTGAAAAGTTCTATAGAAAAAGACAGGACAAAAACAGAGCAAGCTGGGCAGGGAGGGAGCAGAGGTTAAAAGCGTCTGCCTTCATCGAGAGCAAGAGAGAAAAGGCCAGGAAAATCTCCTCCACACCATTACACCACCACCAACAGCCCGAACCGTTGATACAAGGAAAGATAGATCCGTGCTGTCATGATGTTAATGACAAATTCTGACCGTACCATCTGAATGTTGCAGCAGAAATTGAGACTCATCAGACCAGGTGGATTTTTTCCAATCTTCTGTTGTCCAATTTTGGTGAGCCTGTGTGAATTGTAGCCTCAATTTCCTGTTCTTACCTGTCGGGAGTGGGACACAGTATGATTTTCTGCTGCTGTAACGCAGCCGCCTCAAGGTTCGATGAGTGTTCAGAGAAGCTCTCCAGCATACCTCAGTTGTACCAAGGGGTTGTTTGAGTTACTGTAGCCGTTCTATCAGCTCGAACCTGTCTGGCCATTCCCCTCTGACCTCTGGCATCAACAAGGCATTTGCCCCCACAGAACTGCCGCTCACTGGATATTTTCTCTTTTTTGGAGCATTCTCTGTAAACCCTAGAGATGGTTGTGCATGAAAATCCTGGTAGATCAGCAGTTTCTGAAACACTCAGTCCAGCCCGTCTGGCACCAACAACCATGCCACGGTCTAAGTCACTTAAATCACCTTTCTTCCCCATTCTGATATTCGCTTTGAACTGCAGCAGATCGCCTTGGCCATGTCTACATGGCTAAATGCATTGAGTTGCTGCCATGTGATTGGCTGATTGGAGTTTTGTATTAATGAGCAGTTGAACAAGTGTACCTAATAAAGTGACCAGCAAGTGTATTTAGCTGTAGTTACATTTGCAAATGATGAATTTGCAAATGTAACCAGAATTAATCAGAAACCAATGTTGCATGTGCAGTCTGATTAGAAAAGGTCAGCAAAATAAAATAGTAGATATAAACAAATTGTAAATCAGATATAGATATGCACCAAAAGACTGTTGACAAATGCTGTAAGCAGACAAATATGATGCATAAACTGAATCTAAACTGAGCTAAAGAATGACATATTTACTGCAATATTATCAGCTCTACCAGCAACAAAATTATTTGGGTTTACAAAACCTAAAACCAAGCCCTAAGCATAATGACAAAGTTAGTATTGAAACCAATAGCACATAAAGATGCTTCTCCTCAACCGGACAGATTTAGTCCTAAGCCAAGCGTACTTTCTCCATAGTGCATTAATCGATATCTTTCTAATCATACTTAGATATAAAGAATATGAACGTTAGTCTTCTTACCTTGTAAAAAGTGTTCACCTCAAATCTGCGGTTACACTGAGGGCTGACAGTCATTATGATTGACGGCTGATGTCCAGCACTGCCGTCTCTTTCCTCACTACAAGTTATAAGATAAAATGACAAGTTTGCTTTGCATCCTTGCCTGTTTGTGCAGCCGACCACACAGCATCCTATGACGATTTTTAAAGCTAAGTCAACTAACGAGAAGTAATATAAGGTTACAGATGTCTGTTTTTAGACTAGCTTTAAAAGAGCACTTTGGTTGTTTTGACGTCTGTCATGGCGGAGTTTGCGTCAGTCTGTCACAGGTAAAGGGTCAATAAAGGCAATGTTTCATGAAATTAAAAGCTTGTTAAGTAAAATGGTGTTGTAGATTTAATGCCCAAATAATCAAGACTGTACTTTGTGTCATGTTTCTTTTAATGACATGTCTGGTTTTAAACCACAGATTCTCCTTGGATTCCGACCATTGAAATTCATCGAGTTGATCCCGATGACATGAAGGAGCATCAGAGTGCTCGTATAGCGTGCATAGCTGAGAATCGATGTGCACGCCAACAAGTTGAACTCACCTGGAATATCAAAGTCCTTAGCAGTATTATTTTCAAAGAAAGTGATGGAAGCTTTCTAGCTAACATACGCAACGACAACTTCACTCTGTCAGACAAACATGATGGATTCAACATCAGCTGTTCTGCCAGATATCCTGTGAAAGGAGGATTCAAACAGGCAGTTGCAATAAAGACTCTCAATGTTTCATGTAAGTGATCCTATCAGCACCACATAGTTCATGTTTATTCCATTTACTTGATCAACTCACAATAAAACAGGTTGTGATATTTAAACCTAGGCAACACAACCAACGTCTAGCTGGGTGTGCATCTTACATAATCATAGACGGCAGGCCTACAGTATGAGTGGGGAGATCATCTTTGTCAGAAACTACTTATAAATGCCATGATTGTCATCTGTATTCTCATCTATTAGAGATGGGTCGGTTGCGAGTTTTTCGATTCTTGGAGTCGGCTCTTTTAGGTGTATGATTGGAGCCGACTCCTCACTTAGAGGCGTTCTTAGTTATAAGGGAAGGCTACAAAGACAGCAGATTATTGAGTAGTACTCCACAGGAGATGTAGAGACAGAGCGAGAAAGAGAGGGAGAGACAGCCATCTCCCGACCTTTTTCCCTTTGGCTGCTTCACTCTCACACTTTAAGTGGCTCCACTAAGTGAAGTCCACTCGGCTCACCGTGTAACTTTATTTCGATTAGCACGGCAGCCTCGTGCCAATCACGTGTGAAGACATGGGAACATAACATTATATGAAAACAGAGAGGGGGACAGAGATGAGAGTCAATCCCCTCAGTCAATAGACAGCGGTGAGGATGAGAGTGTGTTGCAAAATCCCATAAATATAGCTGATACCTATAAGCAAAGCAGGATCTGGCTGAAGATTAAAAATATTATGTCATAATACATTATTGTCATGGGTCTGTTCAATAAATTTGTTTTCCACATTTTTTTTTATTGAAAGTTTGATTAAATTATTATGCAGAAGTTAGAATGTCTGTTTTCATGACAGAACAACTATATAAAATTAAGGAAGAGTAAGGCTTCTTATACCAGGAACAATGAATGCAAAATGATTTGTCATATAAAACATTCCTGTTTGCCAAGTTATATGACTATGTGGAGCTGCAGGTGATGACTTAAGAGACGTTTGGGAGTCGAAAGAGCCGGCTCACCGGCTCATCTTTGTAAGCTCTCTCTGAAAATGCTAAGCTAAGTCTTTGCAACTAATTTACATGAATTAATTCAGGATTGAACTATGAACTTTGAAAAATTGTGTAATTTCAATGCCCTTTTTTCCATGCAAAATATTCTCTGTTAAAGTAGAAAACAAAACTTTTTGAGTTATTAAAATAACTATTACAGGTCAATTTAAAGACATATATTTAGGCTTGTTTTGAATGTTTCATGGTAATTAAAAAAATTACAGAATTTGGAGATTTTGAGTCACAATTTTTCACAAGTTTTAATGTAAACTGAAGGAAAAACAAGCGATACAATATTTCAGATTTTAATGTACTGCTACAGCCTTAATGTCTAACCTACATGATAATGATGTTGATTAAAAGCTCTTTGAATGTTCTTTCAAGTAAATGTCTTAGTAACCTACCCTTATAAAGTAAATATGTGTGTCTCATTTTCCTCAGATGCTCCTAGAAACACCTCAGCATCCTTCAGTCCATCAGGTTTGGTGTCACCAGG